TCTGGAGTGGGATGGTGATGATGGTAGCACAACTCGGATATCCTTAACACCACTGAACCATGCACTTAGAAATGGTCAGTTTTTGAATACCGCATGTTCTCACTCATAAGCAGGCCCTGATTACTGGTCACACGAGCACAAGGGTAGACTCAGCAGATGCTGGACACCGCTGGGGAGGAGGGAGAGAAGAGGGAGAGAGCACAGGGCGTACCAGAAAGACCAGCTAGAAGCCCAAATTCCACCTGCATGCAACTTATTTATGTAGTAAATCCCTACTTGTACCCCACAACTCAATAAGATTAAATTAAATTTAAAAGGTTAGTTTCTTGTCATGTATATTTTACCACAATTTTTTAAATAGTTCATAAGAAAGAAGATATAAATAATAATCATAATAATAATAACCCCAAGCCTGGCTCGGTGGCTCAGCCTGTAATCCCGCGCCTTTGGGAGGCTGAGGTAAGTGGATTGCCTGAGCCCACGGGTTCGATACCCGCCTGGGCAGCAAGACCTCATCTCTACAATAAATAAAAAAAATCAGCCGGGTGTGGTAGTGCATGCCTGTAATTCTGGGCTACTTAGAAGGCTGAGGCGGAAGGATTGCCGGAGCCCCAGCAGGTCGAGGCTGCGGTGGCCGGGAGCGGCCACTGCACTCCAGTGTGGGCGACAGAGTGAGACTCCAACTCAAAAATAATAATAATAATAATAAAACCCCAGATCATTGTTTAGGGAGTTTAGTTTGCTTTCACAGTTGAAACGGGAGCCTATAAGACTCAAGTGATGTAATAGAAGTTTTGGCGTAGAAAGTAAAGGCTCACACTTGCCCTAGAGAGGGAGGTCTGAGACAACTCACTGAGCTAATTTGAGCCCATCTTAAACTTCCCTGGATCTTGGCCTTACCATATTTTAAACAAATGGGTCTTCGATCCTCTGCTCTGAACTTGCACCGAGGCTGTGCAGCTCTCCTGGCGTCTCCATGGAGATTCCTCAGTGTGAATGCAGGTATGTTTCAGGGCAGGGCATGTGGTCAGGGCAGGCACCATGACCTTCACCAGGTTCCCAACGGGAAACCCATCTCCCAACCTCCAACATGTTGAAGACCCACTGGCATGAATGGTTCCTCTCTCAGGGGTCCTTCCAACTCCTAACATTATAAAGGCAGAAGCCCCCTACACACTCAGCCAGACCCCATCCACACATTCAAAGTTAGGCTTCCTCTGATCCTTAAATTAACTCCTCTGACAACATGGCCCGTGAACTTTGTCCAAAGGATTGTTTCTAGCTCCATATTCCAGGTGTTTTCCTCCAAAGGAGGCTTTTTTCCTTTCGAAACAGAAAATCCATGAAGAAGGGGTGCAGTCCTAGCTCTGCTTCGGTTCTGATATTCTGTTGTGAACTAGTTCTGCAGGCGCCAAACTAGTTCTGCTGATGGGAAAGGGAAGTGAAGGAGAGAGGGATTTTTGCTAAATATCTAGAGAATAACTAGAAGCCCCAATATTTCCCCAAAAAATGATTTGAGCCAAATGAGCTTGTAAAGAATCGTGACATTTTGAATTACATCTGAATTTTGGATGACTTTTCTCCATCCTCTGCATATAAACTGGAAGAGGCTCTTTCCCTGAGGATTTTGCAAATCTTGTCTTTACCTCACCACCCAAAGAAACAAGCTTATTTTACTGACTTCAGAAAAAGACATCACCAGTCCGGCCTGGGAATAACACATGGGAAATTGAAGACAGTAGTATAATTAAGTTCACAAAAGGCCGATTCTTGTGGCCATATTTCAAACGCTTATAACGCCTTCTCATCCATTCTACCAAATGACTTGACTTTGTAATATATGCAGAGTGAAAAAACATAATGGATTCTTCTGAAATATTCAATTAGTTCAATAAAAAGAGAAAAATAATTTTTCAATTAAGAAATTTAACCAAATGACTAAAGCTGACAGTGAAAAACCAACTTCAAAGTAATGGTGCATTTCTTTGGAGTCCTGGCTCTAACGGACACTGATGATGTACCATTATTAAAAACAGCCATCCTAGCCGGGCTCGGTAGCTCAGCCTGTAATCCCACGCCTTGGGAGGCTGAGGTGAGTGGATTGCCTGAGCCCGCGGGTTCGAGACCCGCCTGGGCAACTTGGTGAGACCTCATCTCTACAATAAAACAAAAAATTAGCCAGGCATGGTAGCGCACACCTGTAGTTCCAGCTACTTGGAAGGCTGAGGCGGAAGGATCGCCGGAGCCCCGCAGATCGAGGCTGTGGTGGCCGGGAGCGGCCACCGCACTCCAGTCTGGGTGACAGAGCAAGACTCCAACTCAAAAAAAAAAAAAAAATAGCCATCCTTCGGGTGATGAATTGCCATTGTGTTCCTATTTTTGCAGATATTTATTTGAATGTTTACTCTGAAACTGTCTCTGGGTGTTGATATCTTGAAACTTCCACCAGCCCCACTGAAGAGTATCTTTGTCATGTCTTCATCACTCACTGCTCGACTTCCTTCAAGATGGCTTCTTCCCCATTAATGGAAACCTCTCCTACACAAACTCACCAGTAACATTCTCCTTCAAAGTCCCATGATTTCTCTCTACTCCTCCTCCTCACTGTGGTCATAACATGTTTAATTGCGGACCCCTGACTCCTCTTCCAATTCATCTCCCCTATGTCTTCCGTAAAACTAGCGTCTGCGCTTTAGACTGTGGGGTCTCCCAGGACCCCAGCCCTCTGGCCATCTGGGCCTCCACCTCGGATAAACTGATTTGTTAGGTTTCAAAGGGTCTATCCATTGATGACCTCCCAACCTCTCACCCAGCCCAGCACTGCTGCCAAGCTGCACGCCTCTGCACAGGTGCATTGGATTCGAGAAGCCCTTCACACCACCAAAGCTGAACGTGGCTTTCTACTTCCCAGCACCCCCTGCTTTTCTTCCAGCAGCCTCCTCTGAGCTCCTAACTACCAAGACAAGACAGTGTTTTTCTGTTCAAGCTACCCACACCATAACTGATCAGTGGCTGGTCTCCCTGCTGGCGATGTCTGACAACTCCTATCAACACAAGTGTGTTTTCTGAAAATAAGTCAGATTGGATTGCTCTGCTGCCTTCCTGAAAAACCACTGGTGGCTGAATGAGGACCAGAGAATCAATCCTCAGTATACCTCGCTATGGAGAACCAGCTCCACCCAGCACCAAGAACTTTGCATGAAGAGCCACGTGGGGAGAGCTTGACCTGCAGGCATGGAGCTGAGTCCTGGCAGAATGCTTTGTGCTCCTCCCACCTCACCACCTTCCGGGTTCTAGGAGCTCGGAGGCCTTCTGCTTGCCCCTCTCAGGACATAGCTGCTGGCTGCGAAACTGTTGAGAAACAACTTAAAACTGACTCCTCAGCAGCATTTCTTCCTTTCTGTCACAGTTGTCCGGCCCCTTTTATTGTGCTGTCCCCTGCACAAAGGCCACAATTCCCACGCTTCCTTTTGTTGTCTCTGTAAGGAACACACTGTCTGAATTTAAACTGACTCAGAAGTTCGAGACCAGCCTCAGCACCTTGGCAGGACCTCGTCTCCACAAAAAATCAAAAAAAATTAGTCCTTGTGGTGGTGAGTACCTGTAGTCCCAACTACTTGGGAGGCTAAGACAGGAGACGCGCCTAAGCCCAAGAGGTTGAGGCCACGGTGGCCGAGATCACGCCACTGCACTCCAGCCTGGGTGACAGAATGAGACTCTGACTCAAAACCTAAAATTAAAATTAAAAATAAAAAGGGTTCTTTGTTTCTTTACTAGGACTTGCCTTTTGCTTGACACCTTACACTAACTTCAGTCAAATACTCACTACTCTTAAAACCCCCGGGAGATTCGATAGTTTAGCTTTAAACTTAAAGAGCATTTCAAAAAGTATAAAATGAGATAAAATAAAATAAAACTTGGAAATCTGGTTAAGTGCAAATAAGAATAAGAAAAATAAAATGGAGCCGTACATCAGGCGAGTGCTGCACGGTGCTGCTGTGTAGAATTGTGGTCTTGTAATGCTAGAAGCACATCAGATCCTTGGAGGATAAGGCAAGTCTGTACACTTACAATTTGTGACCTATAAGTTTAGCCGCAAATGTTTTGGCAGAAAATTAGGAACTACTGATGAATGGTCTGTCCCAAGAACAAACCTCCAATGCACAAAGGGTTAAAAAAAAATTGGGGTGAAACTTAAATAAAGTCAAGCTGAGTCTTATTGGCATGATACACCCTTCCTTTAGGTGAAAGTCATTATTAGATTGGTGATTATAAGGACCTCTTAGAATAATGTTCCTGAAAGTGAAAAACGTTTAGGAAGTAACTGAACCACTGGGAAAAAAAAGACTTTAAAAATAAGGCTCAAAGATTATATAATGATTGAGTGCTTCTATGTCTTTGTAGCCAGCTTGTGATCTCGTGTCTCGTAAATGCCCCACCTTCCCAAGTCCATGCTGTCTGCTGGGTCAGTCATAGCAGCTCCCAGCAGCACCATCAGCCATCTGAAACCCCTTTTCACCCCCCAGAGAAAAGTCCCCTGGATCAGACCTTTTGCTCTTTAGCCAGTTCCCTAGTTAGGATAGAGAACTACACCAGCTAAACCATAGTCTTCTCTTGTGGAAACTCCATCCACCCAATACCACCAACAAATGTGAAAACCTGACTTTCAGTAAAAAGTCTGACTTGGTAAGCAGGAAAAAGTCATCTTTATCTCCATGCTTTGGGTGACTTTCAGCATATTAGTATGATTTTAGTGTCAGAAGGTTGGCATTCTAAAGTAAAGTATGGAACCTGAAGAATTTCAATCAAAAGTCTCGTAGATGATAAAAAGCTCTGTAAACCACTAGGCCTTATACAAAAATGTGATCTCTTGTTGTTAGTCCTGTTTGCAATCACTAATGATAAATGCAGGACGTGTCATGTATACATTGTAAAAAGAACTACAGCAAGTTGCTCTGGCATCTGCCCATCGTGTACTAACACCGTCCCTGTCTCCACAGGCAACCCCCCCGCGACGGGCACTGGAACCTTGCTAATCACACTGGAGGATGTGAACGACAATGCCCCCTTCATCTATCCCACAGTTGCTGAAGTCTGTGATGATGCCAAAAACCTCAGTGTCGTCATTTTGGGGGCATCTGATAAGGATCTTCACCCAAATACAGATCCTTTCAAATTTGAAATCCACAAGCAAACAGTTCCTGATAAAGTCTGGAAGATCTCCAAGATCAACAGTGAGTCTAGTGGAAACACTCTACCTGTTTTCTTTCGGCTTTCAGCTTAGCTTCTTTTTCCCAAAATGCTCTTCCTTTACTACTCACTCATGTATTCTCACTTGGTTTATTTTGTTATTGATGCATTATAAATACTGACAGTTTTCCCACCAACAAACAAATGCAGCTTATATAGATGCTGAATATCAGTTTCTTGTGAAAGCAAACATGCATGTTTTCTCTTCTGCTTCTTCCCTGGTCTTTTCTGTACTGTACACCCTGGGCTGTCCACTCTGTAGTCTACAGTGTATACCATAATCCTAACATTCTCTTGACTCATCTGTACTTTCTACATTCCTGCCACCCCACAGTACCTAGTCACAAGATTGTAATTCTTTGTTTTTCCTCTTCCTTTCTTCTCTTAATTAAACTCCACAGACTCTTTCTTCGTAAATGGCTTGCACAGAATATTGGCCAACCTACCCCATATTGAACCTTCAAGAGACAGGGTTCTCTGCCTCTCCCCACATAGCTCTGGGCTCGTCTGTCTCTCCTGTCTCAGAGACAGAGAACTGGAGTTACATTCCCTTCCACCAGCATACTGAAGAGATTTTTCATGGTCTGCCTGCTTTCATAAAAAAGCTAAGGAAGAGAAAAGCACTGAGATAAGCATCTTTGCAAAGTTTTCGGTCTCTAGTCTTCCATCTCATGCTGTAGACCTCCCTCAAACTTGACTTAGTCTAATGATGACCTTGGCTTTTCTTTCACATCTTTGGCTTTTATTTCCAACTTTGATATCTTTTTCCATGTGTCTTCTCTCTCCTTTATGAAACGAACAAGCAATGTCTCTTTCTACTAGTCTTTGCATACGGGGGGGTAGGATTCAAAACTTGACCCAACATTTATCATCTGTCTTATTAAGAACTGAAACACCAATGTATTGAACTATGAAGTATCTCTATATTCACAATCCCACCCACTTTCCTCCTCAAGTGTTAACTTACTACTGTGTTCACCTTATCTTCCAATAAAGTAAAAGAAAAAAAGGAACTCACTCATGAGACAAACACTCTATGTTCAGTAGTGAACTAATGCTATTACTGATCCAGGCAGGGTTCTGACTTCTTATATCAGTGGTAGAATTTTTGAGGGAGACCAGGAATTGCCCATTTCATTAAGTTTTGCAAATGTATTGTACAATTGTGCATAAAATTTTCTATTTAAAAATCTTGTATCTATTGTTACAGACCTATCTCATATTTTATTAGTCCTTTTTCTTGTTATTGATTCCATTTGCCTGTTTGTCTATTTTATTGCTTTTTAAAGAATGAATTCTGTTATACTGATTTATTTTTAATTAAAACAGCCCTTCTCTTGTTTGAGGGATGTTTTATTTGCTAGTTTTTATGGCTGTAGTTGATTTGAATAATCAGCACCGATTTTTTTCAACTGGAATTTTCTCATTCAAGAGTTTCTCTTCTGCTCAAGGGAGGTGGGAACCTGCTCCTTGAGCGATCTGCTCTCTCACTGGGTGACCATCACATTGGTCACTTCTGCTAGTGTCACGTTCTGGTATTGATCATGCTTCATCTGTTTGTATTCCCATGTCATCACTCTTGTTTTTTCTCCTGATTTTATTTAATAGATAAATGCCTTCTAAACTTTTTGTAACCCCACATTTATTCTTCTGAATACTCAGCCCTGTTTGTGTCCAGAAGGTGGCAGTTTTAAAAAAAAAATCCCTAGTCATCTGAGTCACTGAGATGAGAACAGCTCGAAGCTAAAGAACAGGCCAGCTGGGGTGGCCACTGCTGAGTGTCACCCCTTGGCCTGGGGGATGGTGGATGTTCCCACCACACATGGGATTAGGGAAGAGGAGGAGAAGCTTAAAGATCCCTTCTCCGTGCTGTGGATTCCCACCCAAATCTAGGGTTATGGACTGAGGAGGGATAAACACGTAGGCCAACCATCTCCATGACAGCACACATTTAAAGCAGGTGAATTTTCACCTTAGCTTTCTAGATATGGAAAGCAGTCTTTGTCAAGATGGATTTATAGGTGTAATAAATTTGCAAGGAGGAGCTCAGTCATCTTTACAAAAGTTAGTCCCTTGAAATTGATTATAATAGCACTGAGGCACAGGACTCTATGATGATGGAAACGTTCTGTCTCTGTGCTGTTCGGTACAGGAGCCCCCAGCCATGTGTGGCTTCTGGACACTTGGAACAGGGCAGGGGCCTCTGAAAAACTGAGCATATGCTTTTACTTGAAGTTCATGAATTTAAGCGTACACATTCCTATGATTGTAAGTTAGAAAATGCAATGCCTGTTTTGTGTGATTTTAGTCGCCAAAAGTCCAATCCTCTCTCACAAAGGCCCTCCTTGTCTTGACAGATACACACGCCCTGGTCAGCCTTCTTCAAAATCTGAACAAAGCCAACTACAACCTGCCCATCGTGGTGACAGATTCAGGGAAACCACCCATGACGAACATCACAGATCTCAGGGTACAGGTGTGCTCCTGCAGGAACTCCAGAGTGGACTGCAACGCTGCAGGGGCCCTGCACCTCAGCGTGCCCTCACTCTTGCTCCTCTGCCTCTTCAGTTTAGCCTGTAAGTTGGCCTAACTCCAGCGCGTGCACAAGTAGGAAAATGTAACTACACTGGGTTCATGAAGCCATTTATTTTTCCATATACTTTTCCAAGAAAATGTATCCCAGAGGAATCATTTATCTTTAGTTTATGACTGTGTGATAGAAAATGTCACATGTAAAAGTGCTCCCACTCATGTTTAAAAGCATCTTAGCAATCCCTGCCAGCCAAGCCAAGGAACTATCCAAAGGCACCCACCGCTGTCCTACAAACCCCGTGTTCAGCAAGCCTTCCTGCAGATGCCACTCAGCCTGAGCTAATAAAAATTTGTCCTGATTAGTTAACTGATCTACCACGGGCCTACTTCTCCCTGCATTAGGCAGAATAATCTTTTGCAAGGTGAAGTAGATACAATGCATTTCTAACAGTCATGAGAATTCATGGATAGAGGCTGGGCTGGAGGGAAAATGATAAATGCGTCATTCACACTTTCTTCACAGACTGGTAGGAATGACTACAATATAATAAAACATGACTTAGACAAATGAATGAAAATGCTGAGTAGTACAGATGAGAGCATAAAATGCATAAATAACTGCGTCAAATATTTATTTATGAGGTATTAGTCCAATTTTAGCTTCCACAATTATTCACATACAGCTATTGCCATCCAAAAGCCTTTGGGGCCTTAGTATTTACATTTTGAGAAGGTATTCACAAATTACATAAAGTGTAATTGTGAATGAGGAAATTGGCAAATTGACAGTTAGAAAAAGAAAACAGAAGGTTTTTACATCCTGGGGACAGTGGTAAGTGAGTCAGCAGGAAATCACATATTCCAACATTGGACATTCCTGTGTTTAAAGCTCTATGCAGGACCAGAGTGCTGTAGGTGGAACTAAGAAAAAAGAAGCCTTTCCAGCATGTCACTGGCCCTTCAGATTATGCATTTCCAAAACAGAGCTTATCATCTTCCCCTCCTAACCTGTCCCTCTGCCTGACCTACCTTTGATGACTGTATCAGCACCATCATCCCTGTGTCTCCTTCCAAATCCTTCAGAGGCCAACAGAATCCAAGGGCTCAGTGCCTTCCATCTATCCCTGCCTCCACCCTCCTGTCTCGGGTCCTTGTCTTCTCTTACCTCGATTACCGCACTGGCTTCCTAACTGTATCTCTATATGATAACTTAAGGGAGAGACAATGGGGACCAAGAGGCTTCTCTTTGGATGCCTCTCCTGAGTCTTCTCTGTAAAGTAGGAGATAATGTTATCTGCGGAGGATGAAGGAATTGAGATGGGGCCGAGGACTGAGAAGAAATTAGAAAAGAATGTCAAAGGGCAAATAATTGGACTTTACAAAAGATGGATGCAAGGATTACCAAAAAGCAGAGATGGTCCAGAAGAGATTGGATACTGTCTTAGTCTGTTTGAGCTGGTATGACAAAATATTATAAACCAGGAAGCTCACAAGCAACAGAAACTTATATCTCATAGTTCTGGAAGCTGGCAAGTCCAAGTTCAAGGTGCTGGCAGATTCAGTGTCTAGTGGGACCCCACTTTCTGTTTCATGTGTGACACCTTCTCCCTGTGTCCTCACATGGTAGAAGAGGCAAGGCAGCTCTCTGTAGCCTCTTTTATAAGGACACTAATCCCATTCATGAAGGCTCTGCCCTCAGGACCTAAGAATTTCCCAAAAGCCCAACCTTCTGATACTATCACCTTGGTGATTAGGTTTAAACATATGAATTTTGGGGACACAAACATTCAGACTATAGCAAAAACCATGAATTTACAGCAACACATTATGATTGTTAGTCCCTTGCTTTGCCAACAGATATCCTAGACCTAGATTCCGAGAATCTAGAAAAATGCCCTTCATGAGGATGTACCTTCTGGTGCCTGGTTTGCTGAGCCATCACAGTTAACCTTGTATAGTATCCAACCTGGCCACACAGTAGAAGGATGGATAGATGATGGATGAGTGGATGGATGATGGATGGGGGATTTTTAAACACATATCTACCCATACCTGGGCCCTACCCTATTGCTGGAGGGGTGGCTTAGACATTTATCTATTTTAAAAGCTCACCAGGTGATTCTAAGGCACTGGGAGCTTTGGGACCATCATGGTGAGTGACTCTATCCAATAGACAGAGGACCCTGGACATTCTGACAGCATCCTCTGTTCTGGCCCACATCCTCGACATGCACTCATTCCTTCAGTTCACAGTTCAGGAGGAAAAGGGAGGAGGAGAGCTAATTTAAGAATATGGGTGCGAAGAGGTTTACTACTGATGGTGTTAGAAAACCTCTTCTCCAGAAAGAAAGATGCGGTGAGATGATATAACACATCCCATAAGAGAATGGCACCAACTTTCCAGAAGGTATTTAAGACTCGTACAGAATTAAAACATGGACAAAACAGAAGTTAAATAACTTCACGAAGAAAAAAAACCAACTAGGAAGAGTTGGAAACAGAGTTAACTGCCACTAAATTTGGCCTAAGCTTCCCGTCAGCTGAGTCAAAGTGACTGTGCCTGCTGTATAAAACAGTCACTGCTTGGTGAGAGCAACGTATTAATTGGATCAGTGGTTCCTAAATGCTGTTGTATATCAGAGTCACTTAGGAAATACTTTTAAAATACAGACTCCTGGGCCCAGTCCCCTAGAGATTTTGTTCTGTGGGTCTAGATTAGGACTTGAGAGTGGGAGATAGGAGATGGATGAATGGATGGATGGATGGATGGATGGATGGATGGATGGATGGATGGATGATGGATAGTAGATGATGGATGCAGGATGGATGGATGGATGATAGATAAACGGATGATGGATAAACAGATGGATGGACAATGGAAGGATGAATGGATGGATGGATGATGGATAAATGGATAGATGAATGAATGAAAGAAAATATGTATTCTCTTTTTTGTTCTTTTTCCCTTCTTCCTTCATTCCTTCCTTCTTTTTCTTCAAGAAATAAACATTACAGGCAAAGATGCTCCTCTCCCCAGTTTTATTTCCTGTTCTTTCTCCCCAGAGACAATAGCTGTCATCACCTAGGTGTTTATGCGTGTTTGCAGATGTTGTTTTATACCTTTACTACACACACTCACACACACATACATGCACACATACATGACTCACACACAATACATACAGTTCTGTTTTGTCAGTGTGTAAAACGTTGTGTAATTCCTTTTACAATGGTCAAACTGCTTTGCAACTTACTTTTCTTCCTCCTGCATTACATTTCCAAGACCCATCCACGTTGTTCCAGTTAGGGCTTGGCAAACCTTTTCTGTAAAGGGCCAGACAGCTTTGCGGGCCACATTGTGTCTCTGACACATATTCTTCATTGTTTTTTGTTTGTCCTTTTTTCTCTTACCACCCTTTAAAAATGTAAAAACCATTCATAGTGGGGTGCAGAGGTGCATACAAACATGGGCTGCAGGCCAGAGTCCAGCCCCTTCCTGCTCCGTTTCATTTATTCAGACTGCTGGGGTATCCTGTCATTTGGACACAGTGCAATGAGTTCCTTTGTCAGTGGAGGCATCCCAATCATCGTGTTCTGCTGTGACCAACTCTACTGCAGTGAGAGATCTGTTTTCCACCAGCTCCTTGAGTGAGCACTAGACAGACAGCAAGCCCAGCACTACTCAGGGACCAGTACTCAGAAACCACTGCTTCAGAGGCAAAGTTTTCAGAGTACTAGGAGCAATTGGAACTCACATATAATGGGGTTTGGATAAACTAAAGGGCAGTACTCCCTATGTGATTGTAAAAAGAAAAATTCTATGTGTGTGTGCATGCGTGCATACATATGGATGTTGGTTGTGTGTTCACATGTGTACGTACACAGAGAAGGTCACTGAGGGGCTACATCACATACTACACTAAGTCCAGTTACATGACATCAGAGACTGACTCTCGATGACATGACTTTGAAGAACCAAGACACTGCAGGACACTGCTCACGTGTCAGCCACTCTAGACTGGCAGTGAGTTTTTTAAATGCTCAGAACCCCTGTAACACTGCTTGTTAAAACAGATTCCCAAGCCCATCTAACCTATGGAATCAACATCCCAGGTGACAGTGGCCTTCAGCACAAGGCCCGGTGTTTGTAATATTTTTACAATAACTAACACATATGTCTACTACCACCAATCAATATATTAAGTCTTAGTAAACCCTATTTTTTTAATTAAAAGAAAAATAGATATATGTGGCAAAGTTTTCTTCTTTCCAACAAGAATTTTCTCACACTCCTCATTCTGGAGACCCCTGGTCTACAGATATCAATAATGAGCAGTTTCCCAAGAACTGCCCATTTCTCATCTGTCAACTGAGTCTTGGATCAAGTTAATCCAAGGCAGAATCGCCTGATTACCCCTAAAGAATAGCCTCGTGGTTAGTGTTATGGCTATAAAACAGGTGCATGTACACTCTTTTTGAGATATCAGATGTGCTTTGAGATCTCACCTGAGTGGAGCCACCCTGTCTAGCATCACACAGGTATCCCACCATGGTGGTGGCACCTGGAGGAAAAGTCAGAATTATTCTCAAAGTGGGGCTCTGAATCTCTCCCATGTAGCTGGAAAAACACTCAGATGACACTCCAGTGTTTTGCACCACATAGACAGGTAGTTTCAGCCCAAGAAACGGTTAAGAACAGATGTCACCATGTACCCTCAAAATGGCCCTTAGTCTGATGCTATATAAAAGGCAGAAGAAATAATAAATAATGTTTAAATAATAGTGTTTATTTAAACATTAGAAATGCCTACCAAGCAGAATGATTTTTGTTTTATCATAAACCTAGTCTAAGCTATTGTTCCTAACCAAAAAGAGAAGTACATAATAAGACATGTGAGAAACTGGGTCAAAGGTAGCAGGAACAGGGAACTATGGGAGCCCGACTCTTCAGACAGCAGACCTCAAAGTGACCAACCCACATGTGCCACTGTTAACATGACATTGACACGAAGCCGCATGGAGATGAGCTTACAACCTTGAGAAAGGGTTGGGGAAGGGGGAGATACTGAAGTTAGAAGTGCAAAGTAGAATAATTTTCCAACTCAGTCATAGTCCTTGAAAGAACTTCAGGAGTGAGGAAGTTAACTGGTAGAATTGGTTTGATGTTTCCTCAAAGCAGGGTAGGCAGACTCTAATATACAGGCTAGATCTGGTCCACTGCCTGTTTTTATAAATAAAGCTTTATTGGAGCACAGCCACACCATCATTTCCATATTGCCTGGGGTTGCTCTCTGTTGCAGTTGATAGGGCTGAGTAGCTGCCTCAGAGACTGTGCCGGCCACAAAGACAAAAATATTTACTCTCTGGTCCTTTACAGGAAACTTTTGCTAGTACCTGCTTTAAAATATTATTCTCACTAGTCAGTGTGATTTAGGAGTAGAAGATTTTTGTGCAACATGGCAAGAAAACAAATGGATTTTTCTCAAATAATATTCAGATCCAGGTAGACTAGCATTAACCAAACACCTTGGTGTCCTGTGAGTTTTTCTATAGTTTCCTCATGGGCCTGTTGATTTTATCCCACTTTAGAGATGAGAAAACTGAAGCTTAGAAGGTCCTCAGACATGTAATCAGTGAGGCCAGCGTTCCACTAGACTGCCTCCTTTATGGAAAAGATAATAAAAGCATTTCTATTTATTATAATGCTGTAGATGGCTTGATTACAACTGAGAATTGAACAGAAGGATCTGCATTTCCTCCTTTGACACCTGAAAATAAAGGAAATAAAACTAACAGTATTGAAAGTCATAAAAAAGTAAATGAAATTATTTTTATTGTCAATTGTTGTGGTATAAAGCCCGTGCTGATGGCAGTGAGAGGGTGCATAATTCTCCCCTTAACACCCTGACAATGAAGCTAACTGGAATTGTCATTAGAGGTTGTTTCTCTTGCTTTGAGTAGTATGGCAAGTCACAAGGAAGGGACTTGTCCAGAAACCTTTTTAGACCATTGCTTCAGGCTTCATTGATCAGCCATAGCAGGAATGTAAAAGGACAAGATCAGGTGAACCATCTTCAACAAGTATCAAAAGTAAATGTCTCTATATTGGGCAGGGGACAACCTTAGACACACCAAAAAAGTTTAAAGAGATGACCACGATGAGCAAAAGACAGCTAACAATATTTTTTAATAATAATTGTTCATTATGATTTGCATACAATGAAATTCACCCATTTTAAGTGTACAGCTGGATGCATTTGGTCACTATCCACAGATCAAGTCACATGTCCCTTTGTTATTGTTCACTTTCCCTAGTCCAGGCCCTCATTGGTCTACCCTCTCTAGTAACTGTTTTGACTTTTCTAGAATTTCTCATAGTGTGTCAATATTTTGTCCTCTTTATTCTAAAATGTATTATGGGCAGAGACAGAGCCTGAAAAAGCACCCACCCCAGGCAGAGCTGGTTATCCTCTGCCTGCAGATGGCCCTGAGCCATGCTTTGCAGAAGAGCTGTGGTCCCTCAAAGTAACACGACTTTATGGACAATGAGCGTTGACCCTGGAGCACGTTCTGTGTGCCGTGCACATGCAAGCTAAGGGCTTTCTGTAAATTACGTGGATTTCCTCAAATCATCATCTCCATAGCCCTAGGAGGTAGAGTCATTTATGTTATAATCTAAATTGACTTAAAACAGGAATTGGAGATTCTGATTTGAAAACAAGGGACCAGAGCCTAATTTGGTAGATTTTATTCAGCAAAATCTTTTTTTTTTTCTCCTATTTTTAACTGATTTGTCCCTGAGGGGACAGTTGGAAATGTCTAGAGTCATTTTTATTATCATGTCTGTTAGTGGCATCTAGTGAGTGAAGGTCAGGTTAGCTTCCACCCATGTGCAGGATGGCCTCCATCCCGGAGAATCCTCCAGGCCCAAAAGTCAGTCATGCTGAGGTTGAAAATTGCCACTCTGGTCTCTAGCCAAAATTAGACACAAAAAGTGGAGACACTGAACCAGCCTGACAATACAAATGGCTTTTGACTATTTTAAAAAACAAAAAGAAATCTCAATCTGCCCACAAGAACATCTTAAAGAACGTTCTTCCTAATAAGCATCTTCAAACATAGTCCATATTTCACAACTGTCTAGCAACTTGGCTATAAATGAGAGACAGTCGTTGTACAAATGAAAGGACTGCCTGCACGTCTAAAGTTCTGAGCATAAGATGACCTATCTTCAGGGGGCATTTTTGGGTGGAGGAAGGTCTGGCGTATCTGTAGGAAGAGCCAGCAATAAAGGTCAGGTGGATGCATATAGAGCACTTGTAGCTGTTGAATGCTCTTTTTTCCCCTCCCCTTGATGGAGCTAGACTTTAATGACAGGAGGCTAAGAGTGAAGAAGGGCTTTGACAACTATAACTAGTCATGACAGTTGACTTGAGTCAGTATAACTTTAGTCCTAGGTTAGAATTCACTTCTCTGCCGGAATTGCGTGGACACAAAAGTGTTTGTAAGGAGTAAGGTAGCAAAAAAAAGCAGGTAAAAGAGGGCTTCATTTGGAAACTGGATCTGAACATCCCAGAGACAGAGCTTCTCCCCACTGACAATTCTGAGTTGGGTAGAATGATAGGCTCTATGTCTGGGCTAGTCCCCCAGGTGGCCCAAAAAAAGGAGCCACAAGCAGACACTGGGATGTGGGCTCTTGAATGGACCCTACGCTGTAACCTGCGGTGAACTTTTCCACTTGAGAGGTGTGTTCTAGTAGTTCACAACATAGTTGCCACAGGATGCAGGAAACTCTGACAACACGGTATTACTTTCATGGCTGGCTGAGTAATGGCTCCCAAAGACGTCCTTGTCCTAATCTGTGGAACCTGTGAACATATTACTTTCTATAGTAAAAGAGATTTTGAAGATGTGGTTAAGGCTTTGGAGATAGGGAGCTGCTCCTGGATGAACCAGGAGAGACGGATATCATCATAAAGTCCTTATAAGAAGGACAAAGGAGAAGTGAGTTGGAAGACCATGTGATGATGGAAACAGAGGGAGGTCAGGGTTGAGAGAGAAGACTGCTCTGATGGTTTTCAAGATGGAGGAAGAAGCCATGCGCTAAGGGAGGCAAGCAAGCTGGAAAAGGCGAGGAAACAGATTCTTCCTCAGAGTCTCCAGAAGGAACATGGCCCCCCAATGCTGACTTTAGCCACATAAGACTCACTGCAGACTTCTGACCTCCAGAACTGGGAGGAAATATATTTGTGTCGCTTCACATCTTTGAGTTTGTGGTCATTTGTTACAGCAGCAACAGAAAACTAATACAGCAAGTTTGAAGAACCACCAATAAGTATCTTGCTCCATAACAAAATAAATAAATAAATAAATGAGACAATCACCAATCTCTAAACTGCAAAGCTTGTTTATAAAATAGCCAAGCTCTGTGCTAAAGGGCAAGATAGAAGTCTTGATGTAAAAGCAACTATTGGTCTGAGAGCTGCTTCTCACCTGAACCCGCCATCAGCATGTTCAGAGAAGTCCAGCTCCTTAAGATTTAAACCAGCAGAACTATTCATTCTGTCTCCAAATATGATGCTTGAGGGGAAAAAAATTCCCCAAGGTAGTGTGCTGTTTATAAATGTGTGTATTATCACTTGTCAGTCATTGATCGAGCCTTTGAGCTAAAATGTCTTGAATCTAGTTATGATATTCCCGACTTAACTCTGAACCTTCTCCATTCAGGTCTGTGAGAACGCCTGACATCTGAAGCTTGGACTCTCAAGTTTCCATAGCAACAGGAAAAAGAAAAAAAAAATCTATCCAAATCTGAAGATTGCAGTTTACAGCTATCGCACTTCACAACTAGGCCTCAATTGTTCCAGATTTTTGTTTCCTTTGCAATTTCACTTAGTCCGTACTTCCTCATTTTGACAGCATCTTCCTTCCTCCTTTAATTAATGGAATCCTCTGAATTTTCCCTGAATGTTTAAAGATCATGACATATAACGCGACCTTCCAGGAGCAGGAACAATGACTACTTTTTCTGATGTGTTGACATGTTGCTAGCCAGTGCGCCACGCATCCAGCTTTGTCTGTGGGGTAGTATTTGTATATGTATGAGTATCTGTATGTGTATATACACAGTATTTATATAGAGACACTAGCCAGGAGGAGCCTTGTTTGGATGTCATCCTTCCTTGCAAGGTTAAACAAGGAGTGGGGGATGCTAAACCCGCTGAACCCTCCAGGGCCTCAGCATCAAGTTCAGCATGAGGACAGGCCACAGAGTTGTCGCTTGTGCTCTGAAGTTACTCCTCCACCATCCCATTTGGTCTGAATGCTGCCACAGCCAGCCAGGCAGGTCCACAGAGAGGGAGAGCAGAGAAAGTTGGCCTTGCTGTTTACTTAGCATGAGGACTACAAGCAATTTCCACTGCCACCCTATGCCGTGACCCTAAGCCATGGTAGTGAGGAACTAAGTAGGGAATTTCACCATCAAAGGCCAAGGAAAGGGCTGACACACTCTTTCACGGGCATCAATCTGCATTTGTATGTGTCCTGAATTCACTGTCCCGCTGGTTCTTACGGGGACAGAGGCCGTGGTGGGGAATCTCTCCCTCCTCAGTTTATGTCTGGTTGCACATGTCACCATGAAGGTCACACACGACATGAAGAGACCCTACAGGTACCATCTTTATACACATATATACCCACATGTACAGACACATATATGCACATACACTCCGTTTGTTTCATATATCATGCATAAAATAGAGTAAATACAGGTAGTTTTAAAAGTACCCTTTTGTGTGAATCGACTACCGTTGTTTGCAAACCTGAAAATAAAAGATGTTCATTATGTATGAAAAGTAACTGATTTTTATTCTGTGAGCATGTGAAAGAGGAAAGTTAGTGCTTATACTAAGATGATCTTCTTGTTGATAAACCGTAAATGAATCATCAAAGCTCACACCAAATTTTTCTATCAAATAAAACTAGTGACAGCCTGTGGCTTTTTATTAGCACTCGCCACAAACTAGGGTAAGGTAAGTGTCTTAGCATATTTTAATGCAGTTGCTTACTAAAGGTTTTAACCACGCGCGCGCACACGCTTTCTTATGCAATCTACGTTAGCACCTGTGCTTTTCAGTTAGCTTTCTGTAGGAACTAGAAGTCATATGTTGTCTTTGTTGTAGTGAAGTTATGCAGAAAGAGTTCCATATATTGTATTTGTTTCAATAGTAAATCTTTTTGGAGCATAAAGAATGCAGAGACTTTTTTTTTCCATTAAAATAAATGGGTATCGGTGGTTAAAATTGCTGGGCAGTAGCCTTTCTCTGATTTCTATGTTGTGTCTAGTGTCGCTGATACTGGGTCCCATCTCAGTGCAAGTTTATATTTTTGACTGACCGTTTAGGGTCCCTATGCATCTCTGGTAGGTAAGTGAGTCCATGAAGGCAGGAGGTCTACAGGGACCATCTCTATACACATATACAGGGGGGACTCAAAAACAACCTGGAATTATCTTTTGGAGGGCAGGCCCCTTGTAGTACACTTGGAATGTGTTCCTCTGTATCAAATGGTCAACCAAAACTTTTATCTGGAAGTTTTGAGAAGGTTGTGTCATAATTTGTGGAAGGAACATCCTAAGTTGTGGCAAACAGGTAACTGGTTCTTCCACCATGACAATGCACCTGCCCACACTACGCTGAGTGTTCAGCAGTTTTTGACCAAAACACAGCATGACTCCCATGCCCCTCCCTCCCTATTCATCTGCTCTCACCTGAGCAACTTTTTTTGTTTCCCTGATGAAAAAAAGTCCTCAAAGGGAAATGTTTTGCCACTGAATAGGTGAAACAGAAAAATGGCAGAAACACTAAAGGGCATCCACATTGACGAGTTCAAAAACTGTTTTGAGCAGTGGAAAAAGCATCTCAATAGGTGTATTGCATCAGACGGGAGTACTTTGAAAGTGACTGAAGTTTGAACATGTAAGAATAAATACACAACTTTTTATATATAAATCCTGGGGGTTTTGGGTCCCGCTCATATACCCACATGTAAAGACATACATGTATACAGATACACACCTTTTGTCTCACATATACATGCATAGAACAGAATAAATACAGGTAGTTTTTAAAGTACCCTTTTGTGTGAATCCACTACCGTTATTTGCAAACCTGACAATAAAAGACGGGCAGCCCACAGGCAACTTACTCCTCTTGTCACCACTGTGATACAATTTGAGCGCGTCACCATCAGCTCTGAAGGTAACTGCATACTCAGAGATGAGAAGGATCATGCTCCATGTGAGAATCAAGTTAAGCACATTCACAACCAACTGTCTACAGTCCTAAGTCATAAACTTTTCTCTTGCACTAGTCTGACTGAACATGGCAGGATTATTCTCCATGAGTACATGCCCCCAACTCAGAGGCAGGGGAATCTAAGTCTATACATTCACACGCTACAAGAGTTCCTGCCTCCGGCTTTGTAGGGCACAGTCACATGCCACCCTGGTGCACCTCGCTCCCCTCTTCCTGCAAGGCAGAGGGAGAAGGTTTACCCCTGAATGAACCAAGGAGCGTTCTCAGACAGCTAGGTGGTTGGTGGCCGGCGCCTGCTAACTAGCAATCAGAAAGCTCATTCTCCAGCCTGAACTTGAGCTGTCTCTGGGGCGAAATACACAAACTGAGTGACCCATTCACTCGAGGAAACAGGAGCACAGCTCCTCCTCTTTCAAGTCCACGGACTCCCCTGCACCTGGCAAATCAAACCAGAAGCTTAGCTTAGCTTAGAACTCAGAAAAAAAAAATGGAAGTAAAATGCATACTTCATTAATAAGTAGAATATGCCTCAACTTTCCCTAATTTAGGTATATTCTCTGTCCCCAGAGTTATCAGGACAGAGATATTTCTATCATACTCTTTCCCCAAAAAATGGAAATCAGACTCATTCTTAGAAGCCAAAGTGGTAGCATTTCCAGAATTACAGGATGTTTTGTTAACCTGCTAGAGTACATTCCATTGTTTACTGAAAGCCATAGTACAATCAAAATATGATTTCATTATTACCTATGCATTTTATCTTAGTCCAAATTATTAAAAAATAAAAACAGCGGTTCACGCCTGTACTCCCAGCACTTTGGGAAGCGGAGGCGAGAGGATTGCCTGAGTCTGCGGGTTGGAGACCAGCCTGGGCAACGTGGCGAGACCTCGTCTCCACAATAAATCAAAAAAATTAACTGGGTGTGGTAGTGCAGGCCTGTAGTTCCATCTACTTGGAAGGCTGAAGTGGAAGGATTGCCTGAGCCCAACAGATCAAGGCTGCAGTGGCCGTGAGCTGCATTCCTGCCTGGGCAACAGAGTGAGACTCTGACTCAAAAAATAATAAAAAAATAATAATAATAAGGTCAAGTAAGAGTCAGAAATGGCTTTTCCCAATTACTGACATGAGACTGAAGTTTTAGTTCCATTGAGCAGAGTCACATCTTCTTTGCTTCTTTTTATTAATACTCAACCACCTTAGTTGATTAAAAATTATATCTTCTTCCCATTTTACATATGACAAATTATTTTGGATAATTTGTTTTAAGAAGAATACACAAACGCTTTCTAATTTCAATGGCAGTGACCTTCAAGACTGCCAGTTCTCTTCAAATGAGCATCGTTTCAGGCCCAAGAGCCTGCTACACCTCTTGGCTAACACTGACACATCTGGACATCGCCGCAAAATAAGTCCAGCCAAATTTCATGGCAGGTATCCAATAGGACTTTGACTCTTCAAGAACACTGTTATAAATGTTGAGAGCTCATCCCAGATTTTCAAAATGCCATTTTAAACAGTCTGATAATTTTTTTGAGTCGGGGATCTCATTCTGTTGCCCAGGCTGGAGTGCAATGGCACAATCATGGTTCACCACAGCCTCGACCTTCTGGCCTCAGGTAATCCTCCTGCTTTAGCCTCCCAAGTAGTGGGACTACAGGCACACACCACTGTGACTGGCTAATTTTCTTAATTTTTTTTTTATAGTGACAAGGTCTCACTTTGTTGCCGAGGCTGGTCTCAAACTCCTGGGCAAAAGCAATCCTCTTGCCATGACCTCCCAATGTGTTGGGATTACAGGCATGAGCCACTGTGCCTGGCCTAACAGTCTGATAAAATAAAAAACCATCTACCACCTATCTCATGGAGTAGACCAGATTGCATTTCATCTCAAATAAAAACATCTGATTTGATCTTAAGATAAAGCAACTGGCTGGAAGAATCGCCTGAGCCCAGGAGGTCGGGGCTGCAGTGAGCCGGGATCACGCCACTGCACTCCAGCCTGGGTGACAGAGTGAGACTCTGACTCAAAAAAATAAATAAAATAAAAGATGAAATAACTAAAAACAATTAACAAGTCTGTGTTAAATGCTGGGTTTAGTGCAGTTGTACCCATGCACAAGATATCCAGATAATTCTAAGGAAAGGGATCTATGATTATTCTGGGGTATATGAACATGGTACCAGAAGGTGATTAATAATCATAATAATAATAGTTTATATTTATTGATTGCTTATTATGTGCCCACACTGTACAAAAGCCTTTGCCTCTAGTGACTCACTGAAGCCTTACACTATGAAGTGAGTGCTATCGTCTCCAACTTACCAATAAAAAAGCCTGAGGCTCAGAAAAATCAAATGGTTTGCCCAAGGTAAGTGGCCTCCAGAACCCAAACCCAAGCCATTTGACTCCAGGTTCCTGTTCGTCCCACCACATCACAGTGCTGCTCTCAACTCAGCAGCAAAACCAAACAAAATCCTACTGCAGACCAGACACTCCCATCTGAAACCTCAATTAGTGTGACCCTCCAGCAAGACCAACTTACTGCTTAGTAGCAGTACCTTACTACTAAGTACCTTTTACTAACCACAGTACCTTTTATCATTAACTTCCTGCTATATTTCTTAATTCTAAGCACTTTCTATTAAGTCCTGTTAACATTGTTCTAAATTAATATTGGGACCTTAGACATTTTTTCCTGTACAAGACATCATAATTTTCTTAAGTGTTTTCCCCTTTCTCTTCCATGGCTTGTTGGCAGGTACACAAGGGGCTTCTAAAAAGTTAATTTGACATCTCAGTTGTCAAAAGTCAATTCATGTCCTCTCAAGTACCCATTCACTACCAAATCAACTGAAGGAAGAGAAAACCAAGGGAAAAACTGGTGTGGGATCCCCAAGAGCTTGGACTGCGTTTAGCTATAAACAATTCAAACAGATACATTCTCAAAGATCTCCAAGCTGTTTCTGATTTTGTAAAGAAGGTAACCCACTAATCTATTCACGGGAAGTTGCCTTAAGCATGATTCACAGGTGAATCACACCAACAAGAAAAGTGAACCATGGAAAAGAGCCAACTACCTCTTCTGTTGAACTAAATAATAAAAATAATAAGGAATGATCTGACTACACCTTCCACAAAAATAATTAATTCCATCTTCTCTCCTCAGTTGGCTGTTGAGAGTTCATACTTCTCATAGTCCAATGATAAAATACTTTCAGCCAGGTGGAGTGGCTCATGCCCATAATCCTAGCACTTTGGGAGGCCGAGGTGAGAGAATTGCCTGAGCCCATGAATTTGAGATCAGCCTGGGCATATTTGCGAGACCTCATCTCTACAATAAATCAAAAAATTAGTTGGGCATGGTGGCACACGCCTATAATTCCAGCTACTTGGAAGGCTGACGCAGAAGGAACCCCTGAGCCCAGCAGGTAAGGCTGCGGTAGTCATGAGCATGCCACTGCACTCTAGCCTGGATGATAGAGTGAGACTCTGACTCAAAAAAAACTAAAATAAATAAATAATAAATAAAATACTTTCAAAATTGTTCATATAGGCCAGGTACAGTGGCTCGTGCCTGTAATCCCAACACTTAGGGAGGCTGAGGGGAAAGAATTGCTTGAGCCTAGGAGTTCAAGACCAGTCTTGGCAACACAGTGAGACCTCATCTCTATAAAAAAATCAAAAAATTATCCAGGTGTGGTGGTGCATGTCTGTAGTCCCAGATACTTGGGAGGCTGAGGTGGAAGGATCACCTGAGCCCAGGAGATCAAGGTTGGTGTGAGCCGTGATTGTACCACCGCACCGCAGCCTGGGTGACAAATTGAGACTCTGACTCAAAAAAAAAAAAAAGAAGTCTATAATTTAAGCAAAAACAAAAATTCAGATACCATCAAATTAAGTAAACAGAAAAGCTTCTTTCTATCTCTCACATATCTGCCTGTCGCCACATGTGCTGGTGAGTTGCTGAACCATTTCGTTGGACTTTCCA